ATTCCTGCTATTAGTTAATGCAAGTTAGAGAGGAAAAGGGTGTGCTTGGTTTGCTGTGAGGCATCTCCCTGCTAATGTAAACACAGCAAAATTATTGCTACTTAAGACTGAGATCACAAAGGGATCTAAATCCATCCATCCATTTTCTTCTGCTTATCCGAGATAGGGTCGCTGTGGTAACAGGTTCAGCCAGGTAGTCCGGACGTCCCTCTCCTCAGCAACGTCTTTCAGTTGCTCTGAAGGGATTCTGAGGCGTTCCCAGGCCAGATGAGATATACAGTCTCTCCCGTTGATCTAAATAATAATTGGTTTAATACATTTTGTGGCTTAGTTAGTGAGCTATATTCAATAAGGGTATTGGATTATATAGTATTTATGTAAAAATGACATAATTGTGCTGCCAAGAAGTGACAAATAGACAAATGGCAAAATATTGTTTTACTTGTCAAACAGGTGCATATTTGAGCTTTAGCAGTACATTACATGCTTCCCATGTTTTGCCCTATTGGTTTGCTAAGGGGATTTGTTGGGTTTTTCTTCTATAAAAATAAGAATAGTAGGTTCTAGATCTTACTTCGTAAAGTGACCCTCATGGACAGTGGGTACGGAAAGTATTCAGAACCCCTTACATTTTTCACTCTTTGTTATATTGCAGCCATATGCTAAAATCATTTAAGTTCATTTTTTTCCTCATTAATGTACACACAGCACCCCATATTGACAGAAAAACACAGAATGTTTGACATTATTGCAGATTTATTAAAAAAGAAAAACTGAAATATCACATGGTCATAAGTATTCAGACCCTTTGCTCAGTATTTAGTAGAAGCACCCTTTGGAGCTAATACAGCCATGAGTCTTTTTAGGAATGATGCAACAAGTTTTTCACACCTGCATTTGGGGATCCTCTGCCATTCCTCCTTGCAGATCCTCTCCAGTTCTGTCAGGTTGGATGGTAAACATTGGTGGACAGCCATTTTCAGGTCTCTCCAGAGATGCTCAATGGGTTTTAAGTCAGGGCTCTGGCTGGGCCATTCAAGAACAGTCACAGAGTTGTTGTAAAGCCACTCCTTCGTTATTTTAGCTGTGTGCTTAGGGTCATTGTCTTGTTGGAAGGTGAACCTTCGGCCCAGTCTGAGGTCCCGAGCACTCTGGAGAAGGTTTTCGTCCAGGATATCCCTGTACTTGGCCGCATTCACCCTTCCCTCGATTGCAACCAGTCGTCCTGTCCCTGCAGCTGAAAAACACCCCCATAGCATGATGCTGCCACCACCATGCTGCACTGTTGGGACTGTATTGGACAGGTGATGAGCAGTGCCTGGTTTTCTCCACACATACCGCTTAGAATTAAGGCCAAAAAGTTCTATCTTGGTCTCATCAGACCAGAGAATCTTATTTCTCACCATCTTGGAGTCCTTCAGGTGTTTTTTAGCAAACTCCATGCGGGCTTTCATGTGTCTTGCACTGAGGAGAGGCTTCCGTCGGGCCACTCTGCCATAAAGCCCCGACTGGTGGAGGGCTGCAGTGATGGTTGACTTTCTACAACTTTCTCCCATCTCCCGACTGCATCTCTGGAGCTCAGCCAAATTTTTTTTTTGTAACCTTTGCCAGATCTGTGCCTTGCCACAATTCTGTCTCCGAGCTCTTCAGGCAGTTCCTTTAACCTCATGATTCTCATTTGCTCTGACATGCACTGTGAGCTGTAGGGTCTTATATAGACAGGTGTGTGGCTTTCCTAATCACGTTCAATCAGTATAATCAAACACAGCTGGACTCAAATGAAGGTGTAGAACCATCTCAGGGATGATCAGCAGAAATGGACAGCACCTAAGTTAAATATATGAGTGTCACAGCAAAGGGTCTGAATACTTATGACCATGTGATATTTCAGTTTTTCTTTTTTAATAAATCTGCAAAAATGTCAAAAATTCTGTGTTTTTCTGTCAATATGGGGTGCTGTGTGTACATTAATGAGGAAAAAAATGAACTTAAATGATTTTAGCATATGGCTGCAATATAACAAAGAGTGAAAAATGTAAGGGGTTCTGAATACTTTCCGTACCCACTGTATGTAGCTGGGCAGGACAAAAAATATTTTACTGAGGTAAATGACTGGAGATAAGCTGGTTATAATGGTAAGATCCTTGCAGGTATGATCTTATTCCTTGGCGCCTTACACTGGCTGCCTATTCACTCACACATACATTCACACACTGATGGGGAGCAGCAGTAGAAAGCCACCAGGAACAAGTTGGTGTTTAGTGTCTTTCCCAAGGACACTTCAATATGTGAACTGGGACCACCCACTCTCCCTCCTGAGCCACAGCCGCACCCCCAAAGAGTAACTTGGTTAATGTAGTGCATTTATTAATCCATCTTAACCTGTACTCAACCTTTAAGGATGTCTTAGTCAGTTCACTCTCCCTGCTGACTTCATCTGTACACTGGTATCAGCGGGGTGTTACTAAGACAATGACATCCATATAAATTGATGTTTTGTGCTTAAGACTAAGAAACGGAGGTCAAGTAACGGCTCTGAAACTCTGAGCAATACTGTATGTGTGCAGGTATTACACTGCGTTTCACATTAACAACAACCTGAGTGCCACACTTATAGCCAAGTCAGAGATGATGAATGGTAGCTGTAGAGCTACTGATGTTTCAGTGATGATGAACTTGATGACTGGCTGGTGGGCAACACAGCCTGAGAAATTTGGCAACAGATTTCAGTGCTGACAAACAAGGATGTGTGGCTACTGTGTGGTAAACTATGGTAAATGGTAAATGGTCTTATACTTGTATAGCGCCTCTCTATGCTTTTACAGCACACTCAAAGCGCTTTTACATTATTGGGCCATTCACCCCCCAAAAAAAAAAACAATGGCCAGTGACTCTGCTTTTAGAAAACGCATGCTAGCTTCAGTTGTGAAAGCTGTTACCCTTTGCTGCAATGTTGGAGTTTGACTCTGAAGCTTACTGAGTTCTAGCTGCATATTTAAAAGTCTGAATGGCTTCTGTTTAGTGCAAACGTTTTGACTGGGATTGGCTCCAGCCCCACCTCCTGTGACCCTATTCAGGAATAAGCATTATAGATAATGGATGGGTTTGTATATAAACTTTACTATAATGATAATCAGTTTGACATGTCTTGATATTTTGTCCCAGAAGAATCTATTAATTGTAGTAAAATACAGAAATGAACTGAAGTCAGTAGTGCCTGAAAAGTTGAAAAATATTATAGTAGCATCATTTGCTAAATGGTTAGCATTAGATTTACGCTCAACAGATTAAAGCATGTGAAATTACTGCCATGGCCCTTTAATGACAAATTGTGGCTTATCTAATGTTTTAGGAACCCGAGAGCTTTCTCAATCTACTTGATCTCTTCACTACCATCTTATTCTGTCCTCATTTTCGACAGAGACATCATGTTTTGAGCTTTTTTTTGTTGTTGTTGACTGCTTGAGGTTTGCAAAAGACTGCCATGTTTCAGACAAGTGTTATGTCGTCTCATAGCAACAACAGGATCCATGCTGAGCTTCCCACATTCAGTGATGGTTGGTATACACAGGGGCTTAAAGTGTGGACTGCTAAAATCAGACTGGTGCAATTACATTGTGATGAAGTGTTAGAAACAAGGTGGGGAATTAACAGTGGCTGTCGGGCTAGTGGTAGTAAATCCTGACTGCCAGTGGTGAGTTTGTCGACTTTTTCAGGCCATCTAACATCATTCATATTTATTGCAAATTTATATGGAGCTCATAAAATAAAGTGACAGGTGAATTTGGAAATCCATCAGACTCTTCATGTAATGGTTACAGATGAGTGTTTTAGAGGGAGTTTCTCAGTCGTACCAGTCTTGGCGTCCACTGAGAAGTAAGGCTGACCCTCCAGGATGCTGTAGACCACGCGAGCACTGTTGCCATAGGTAGGGTCATCTGCATCTGTAGCCGTCAGCTGGATCACAGATGTTCCTTGGTTAAAAAACAGAGGATAGGTAAATGTGAGTTAGAGATGAGGAGGAAGGAAGATCCCAATCAGCTACACTAATGTAATCGTGCCAACAAAATAATTTGAGTGGGGTTTTTCCATCTGTGATCAGAGCTGCTTGAGGAAAAAACAATGTTTATTCACCTTTAATTCTTCATCTCTTTACCTGTTTTAGACATTTCAGGTACAGTTGCCTGGTAGGGTCCATCTAGAAACCTCGGCTCGTTGTCATTGATGTCCTGGATCTTGACGATGAACTCGGACTCAGGCTCCAGAGGTCTGTCCGTCAGGCGGTTGCGGGCCTGTGCACGGAGGACGTACTGGGCCTTCACCTCCCGGTCCAGCCTCTGTATGGCATGAATGTCTCCTGTGCTGTCATCAATGGTGAAGGTGGTGCCCGCACCCTCGCCTGTCAGGATGTATTTAATGGAGCCGTCACCTTTATCCATGTCTGAGTGGAGCTGAAGAGATGTTTACCAAAGAAAAGGAAAAGATTCTCTTTTTAATTACTTTTGGAAACATCTCAAGGATTTTGGAAAGGATGTGAGACACCAGAAAGCATTACCAAGTGCCCAAAATGCTAGTGCACTGGTCAAAAACTGCAAGGGGATCACTCTTGATAATCATCTTGCAAACACGGACAAAACTACTGTAGATCCAGAAAGTATAACAGTAGACACAGATAGAAACTAATCGAGAAGAATATAACTGGTGGTGTAGTCAGCATGAGTCCACATGCTCCCTCTTAATATAAATGTAGGTAAATTAGCATTAGAACCTCCAGGGGCGGTGTGGTTATATTGTAAGTTTTCTTTAAAACTCTGAGTAGAAATCTAATCACAGCTTGCAACCTATATGTTGCCATGGGCCCTGCAGTGCAATCGGAAGCATTTTTTGGCCTGAAAGTGCAAATGCCAGCCTGTTGATGTGCAATCACTCCTTACTTTGTACTTAGAAGGTCACCACTTATGACTAGTTACTGCCATTACACACAGAGAGCAATTAAATACCCCCATTGACGTCTGTCTTGTACAATCAACAGGTGTGCACTGCAAGCACACAGCACTGAAAAAATTTTTTTCAAGCTGACTGTAAAAGCACACTCCTTTCAAAATACTTGGTTTTGCCTTTTGTCATCTGAGTTCACTAAACAAAATCACTGAGCTGAAGTTTTCAAACAGCTAAAAGTGTGCAGCTACAGTACTTGTTCTGGTGATAGTTCAATGGCAATCTTCACAGTAACTACCATTCCCAGGCTGCAGACAATACAGTTTTTCTTATCTGTTTGGACAGCGAGCCCACCTGCACTCTCTCTGTGCAAAGCGTCATGCGGCCCAGCTCAGCCAGAATGGATTTTCTAATCAGCAGCCCATTGTGGGCTTTCACTCCATGTCTTGTGGTGATCTATCTCAGGCTGAAGCCTTAACTCTACCTCATCCGCCTTCTTCTGTGCTGATCCTTCTTTTCCACCCAAGCCTATGAAAGGAAGGAGTTTGACACTCAGGCTATCAATTACCTGCTCCGTCTTAGCCCCAGACTAAAGCCAGCATCCCCACAGCTCTGAATACTAAGTTCCTCAACACAGAGGAAGCAGGATACTGTAGGTTGAGTTGAGGGTAAAAACCTAAGGGGGGAGGCTACAGTACATCTTTCTCCTGTTTTGTCATATCCTACAATGCCTTTCTCCCTTGAGTGGTTTTCTGGGTAGTTGCCCAGCCTGTCAGAATCAATTATTTCATTCAGCTTGAAAAAAATAGGGTGAGTGGCTGGGAAAAGGATCAGTGCAAAAACACAATGTGGGAAAAAGAAGGAGGAAATTTCACAGCGATGGTAAGGCTTTTTTCACATCATGTACAGTCAACAGGTGTACAGTACTTTTTCCTAAACTCTCAGGAGTCATTACTCTCGTACCTAGGCGGAGTGTGTGAATTTTTGGACCCCATCATTTTCCCCCATATTTCAGAGTGGTGGTGAAATGACAGAATATTATATATTAGGCAGGTATGAATGTTATTTTCCAACATCTGATATAATTTACATATGACACCCACTAAATCCACCATAAAGTCCTATAATTATTTAGATTTTTGCTCAAGCCCTGTACATAAAACAAACTTCACCCAAAACCACTTTTTCCATTGATGTTGTGACAATTTTTATAGCAGTTTGCAAGACTGTGTCTCGCCACTGATGATGACTGGCCTTACAACTGTGGATCAATTGTTCGATTCACTTTAGCGACTAAGCCATCAAAGTGCTCCTTTGTGAGCATCCCTCCTCTGGTTTTTTTTTTCATAGCATGTCAGTTGGGTTGCAGATATGATGTCCACTTCTGTAGAACAGGACAGACTAAATGAAGCCTCAGTATGAGCCAATTAATTCAATCACTGCTGCCTGGCTCTGGTTCAAAGCAGAGAGAAGAGATGGAGTCTTAGTATGGACACTGTGCATCCAGGGATTTTTTATTTATTTATTTTTTAGAGTCATTGAAGTTTGCTTCTGCCCACCTGTGGTGTGTGTGCCCAGCGCTGGCCAAGGCTACTGAGCTCCCCTATAGATCTTTTAGTTTGAAAGTCGTGCTTGAATTTTCTTAGCAGTACTTTCACGACAGTCGCACCAAGTGGAGTGGTCATACAGAAAACCTGCTACGCTGCTAGGCCAGAGACCCATGAGCTTTGGATTTCCTCAGGTGACACATCTACAGTATGTGCATGCATCTACGGTAGTTGGCAACTGAAACGTCACCTCTAAGTAAAATTGAACATTATCACGGGAGGATTTACTGAAGGTTTGTTATATTGGAGTGCATTAGTTTTTGCTGGTTGTCACTAATAATCTGATGACTGAGCGTATGTCTGCATGTGTATGCATGTGTATGCACATGTAATCAGCACCTACCTTTCCAATATATAGTGGTTCCAGTCCAGTGTACTCCTCCAGGACAAAGAACTGGTTCCACACCCAGCCTCGTCTCACCCTCTGGAGCAGCACTTCGCTGCCTGTGCTGTCCTCCTCTGTGGGCTTACCCACAAGGCTGTGAGGCAGAAGTGTCAAAATGCAGAGAGTCACAGGGAGCAAGGTGCTGGCAACTGCTGCAAGTTGTAAAAGATCTCCCATTGTGAAGCAACGATGTGAAGACTTTTTCTCTTTCTTCACAGGCACAGTTCTTGGTCCTTTCTTTCTGGCTCCTGGAAGAGAACAAAAATGATGCATCTCAGTTTTGTGTCCTTTTGGACATCGTCATCCTTTTGTTGTATACCAAGCCCTAGTTTGTGTTGCATTGTTGGAGATGTGCAGATGGCACATACGTGCTTCCTACTCCCTGCCTCCAGATTAGTTCTCTACTCTTGGTTTGTATTGTGTTACAATGTTTGTGCCTTATCACAGCTGAGTGGAAGGGCTCCTCTTATACTGTCGATGTGATCACATGGAGGAGGAGAGGAGGTAATATGAAGGGACATTTATAAGGATTATCGGTGATTTCAGAAATTCATCTGCAGTGTTTGTATTATCTGCCAACAGCAGCTAACGTTAGCTAGCAAAGGCTGAGATCAGGGTGCAGAGTCTAACGATCTTGTAGACAGGATCTATAGGTCCACTCCAAGTTATCTACAGTCACCTACGGTTATCCATCTTGAATTACCGCAGTCAGTAAACTAAGAGCTAAATGACTTAAGGGATCAAGAAAAAAGAAAACAAAAAACAAGACTGTATCCAGGTAAATACAGTGCACACCTCCAAAAAGTGGCGCCCCGTCCCAACATTCAACACAGCATGACGTGCCTTCACATTTTCTATATCTGCTTCTGCTGTATTTATTTTATCTACTGTAGATAAAATATATTCATGTCATGCTGACACACTGAAAACACTGAGAATGTCAAGTGTTTAGGTAACTATGTTGTCCCCAGCTTAGTTTGGCATAAAGTTGACAATCTGGGCAAATGGATAAACTGTTTGTCAAGGAATAATTTCACCACATACATTAGCTTTCTCCACAACCACAAATCTTTATTTATCTGTTGGTGTATGCATTAAACAAACGGGAGCTTCAGAGGTGTCTCTAGGTATATTTTAAACTTTGTAGATTGCCAGGCTGGGAGTTTTCCCTAATCTGAAGGTTATAATACTTTTAAAAGAACAGTTTTGCATTTTGGGAAATATGCTTATTTGCTCTTTTGCACAAAGTTGGATGCAAAGATTGATACTACTGTCTGTGTGGACCAAGAGCAGGTAGGTGCTTATCTTAGCTTAGCTTAAAGCTTAGCTTAGCATAAAGGTTCCAGAATATCTACCACAAAAAAGGTGTTATTTTTAAGTATAGGGAAAAAGCCCAGCAAGCTGTTTTCACCCGCTCCCAGACTTTATGCCAAGCTAAGCTAATTGCCTATTGGCTTTAACTGCATCCTTAACATACAAAGTGGTATCAGTTTTCTCATCTAACTCTCCATAAGACAGTAAATAAGTAAAGTTTCTAATAATGTTGATAATTTCTTGTCACGATTTTCTAAATATATCTACATAAAGGTAGCTGATATGCACCTATTCACGTTTCTTTTTGCTGAAACTCCAGAAATTTGCTTAAAACTTTTAATGAAAGCATAGCTAATGTCACCTTTTAGAGCTTGGAGGAGAAAAGAGAAATGATAGCACCAGCTTAAGCTCCTTTGCCTCCAGCTCGGTACAATCAGGCGTTTCACATTGTCAGGAAAAATAAACCACAGTCTTTCCCTTTTTTCATGTCACGGTGAGGTGAGCTCTTCACACCTACTGTATAAGGCCCGGGGGTGTGATGTTCTGAAATTGTGTGTATCTGTTAACACCCCTGCTCAGCTTTTCTCACACCATGCTCTACAAGTTACTTTCAGCGCTGCACACCACTCATTACAAGTGTCCCCCCCCCCATATCGCAAGTTTTGAGTGGCTCTCTGGTAGGATAGGGATGGATGTTGGACTTTATGCTTCTAAATATTTCTCGCCTCTGCATTATTCTTTTTTGATACAAACATCATTGGTCATTTCCACAAATTTTATGCAGGAGATGCTTTTTAAGGATACACATAGACTTTTTTTTAGATAATGAATACCTTTTCACATGCAGCACCTACCCTCCCTCTTTCCATCTGCATCTTTATGTATTAGGAGGCCAGCTGCATCTGCCCGCTCTTGCTGCATTAACGGGCTCAGGGAAAATAGGCAGATTTATGGTCAAAAGGCAGAGAGAAATAAGTGAGGGTGGGGAAAAGGAAAAGAAAAGCAAATAGGCTGTTAGCAGGGGGGAGATGGAAACGTTGGTGCCAAAAAAGTAGAAGAAAGAGAGAGACTGGTTGACTCCATTATGTTTTGTAAGAGAGAGTGCATTGTGCTGCTGTAGACTCTCTCTGAATCGCCAAACTGAGTTAATCATTGTTGAAGAGGCACAAAAGGCAAGGAAGGGTGGGGGGCGTGGCTGCATTGTCAGCGGGAGGCTGGTCCGAGTGTGTGTGCGCATGCATTTATGTTAATTTCATTTCTGAGAGAGACAAACCATGTGAGGGCCACTTGGCAGGATGGCTGACACTTGACCTGACTGCTCCCCTCTTTTCTGTCTATTCAAGCTGCCTGGTTGCGATTGTGAAGTAAAATTAGCTCCTGTTCTTCGCTCACAAACCCCTGGCCTCCCCTCTCAACCCCTCCCCTCAAAGGTCACAGCTTGCACCTGAGCATTTTGGACCATTTTGTTGTAGCTAATGAGGTCACATGCTATGTAACTGTGCTGGCAAAACATTTCACACATCTTTCTTTTGCTAATCGTATGACATTTCACTTTAAAAAAAAAAAAAAGCAGCTGGTGTTTGCCGCACAGGGAAGGGATGGGAAGACGAAGGGTGGAGGAGCAATCACATGCAAATGCTTAAGGCGAGGAACTATTTTCCCACCAGGCTGAAACATTCTTTCCACTTGGAAATCTGCCTTTATATTCAAAAGAAAATGATATGATTTTAAGTTATCTAGAAAACACTATAGGAAGAACTGAAGTCAAAATGGCAAAAGAGACAAGGTGTTTGCTGAAGGGAGAAACTGAGTGACAGTGGAAGCGACATTGATTGTCAGGGGGAGCAGCTGGTGTGACAAAATGATGGGCCATATTGTTGTATCATCTTACTCCAAGTCCACCTGCTGCTCCATTAACTGCAATTTGACAACAACAGACTCTATCAAACCGTTCCTACATGAGAGGACAAGATGAATGTTTCTGCAGTGAAGCAGAGCAAAGAGAAAACAACTGCTACAACACGACCGACCTCCACTGAGCTGAGGCGTTGTACCTAATGTGGCCGACCCCACCTGTTTAATGAGGTGCTAATGCCCAAATTAACAATGTGTGTAACCATTCTTTCATAATAACTCACAGAAATACTCTTGGAAGTCTTTGGTATTTTTAAGGCACAGACTTGAATGTGTTGAAACTTAAACTTACGATTGGGATGTTTCATCAGATTCTTCAGATGAACTGATTCTCAGTTTGCTCACACATGAGCTACATTTTAAATGATACCCAGCCTATTAATAAGGCAATACTGTGAAAACTGTACTGTTAAATGTGATCATGCTCAAAAACTTATTCATTTAATGCAAAGTTAATCTTTTACTATCAATAATCAGGTGATTTAATGCTGAACATTACCTTGTTTTAGCTTCTTAAATGTTAAGAGTTGCTGCTTTTCTTTGTCTGATCTAATAGTAATAGTATTTGTTCAGACAAAACAAAGTGTTACCTTGGGCGTTACAACATTACAATGGACATTTTTCATTATTTATGAAGATTTATTGTTCAAATGATTAATTGCTTTATCATGAAAATAATCGTTAGTTCAGGCCCTTATGTCATCCAGAACCTCATCCTGACATTTTGGTCAAACTGTTCACTGGGGTTACCAAGGCACAATATGTGGTACGTTAGTGATGGTTCCTGTTTAAGTGCTATATGGGGCATTATTAAGTCTTAATTTCACAGTGACCATGTCTGTGCTCCACTCATCTCTGCTCTAAAAAGAGGCCTCCCAGACTGTGGAAAAGGTCCTTAAAAACTGGGTGGACCCATGAAAAAGGGTTCCACCCGCCCTGGCAGAGCGAAACGTCATGGCCAATTTGTTAACCACAATTGATTTTGCATGGTGGAAAGCGATGCCACCATGAAGGCTCTGGGTGTCTCCGACGCAGGCGAGGGGCCGCATCAAAGCGCTGTTTTAGATGTGGTGAACTACCTTTCAATGAACCAAGTGGGAACTGTTGCAAAATATAGAAGGGGATTGTTAAATACAGCCCCTGAGGCTGATTTCACTTTCCAGCCTGAGAGCTGAGTGTGGCGAGCTGTGCAGCATAGTTTTTTACATTTCTCATCTTTATTTGTTTATTTGCACATAGTTCAGTTTAGAATCTGCTGCTGCACTAATTTTATTTTTCAGGCAGTAGTATGTCTTCTGGTATTTTTTTGTGTGTAAAGACTGAATCAAATGACCATGGGCTTCATTTATAACCACTGTGTACAGACAAAATGGGCTTGAAATGTGTACACCACGTCCCATGGTATAAGTTGGGATTTATGAAAACCAACTTGATGTAATGACACGCACACCTGTACGCGCACATTTTGGATATGAGAGAAATTGGCAACATGGATGGTAAAGTAGTGAACTGAGTTTAATTTAGCTTCATATCAAACCAATAATTCTATATATGTGATAAAACTAGAGCCTGCACTGTTGTATTGTGGTTGTGCTTGTAGGACACTAATTATTCCAGAAGCACATCTCCGTTTTAAAAGATACAAAGCAAACCCAAATCTTAAGCAGTTACATATGTGATTCATTATTACACTCTCACTACTGAGCGTCTGGCGCTGGTTCTTCATCACTTTCCAAAACAGTCAGAGTTCACAGGAGAAGACTGGGCTGTACGAGCTGGCGTGCACCACAGTGGTGGCGTGACGTTCTGTGTGTCAGGTTTGGGAAGCTCTGACTCACATTTCCCTGAAATAAACTTAGAATATCCTGGTTTCTTGCCATCTCATCCACATAAAGTGATGACATGCATGACTAATTTTTAACCAAGTCCTCTAATTCTCAAAGTTTCTGGCCCATTAAAACTAATTTGTTTTCATATATTTTTTGTTTTGTGTAAAATCCCTCCTCCTCTCTGCCTTCTC